CAATTCAGCTCAACTTAAAAATGGAAAAAATGAACATAATGTCACTTTCAAATTTCACTTAACAGAAAAAAAGTTTTTACTAAAAAAATTAACATTACTCAAACTTTGTTGAAATTGAAGCTTACACTTTAGTGCAAATTCAGAGCAAGGTCACAGACTGTATGTATATATTACTTGTTAAACAGTTTGCCAGTATAAAGTACAATGATACATCTGGGAAATATTGCATGTTACCATAACCACCAACAGGTTTGATAATTACTTTGTCAGAAATCTAAATGAAAATAAGCTGTCAGAATTGTTACAAATCATGTCTCTGAAAATCTAATTAGTAAAATTACATACAGTCTAGGTTCAAGAACAAGAAAATTTCAATGTGGGAGCCAGTCTAAAAGTGAAAAAATCTCATTGGACAAATTCAAATTTGCCCTTAAACAATTAGCCAATCAGATTTAGTGCTCGCCAATTTTTTTAAGCCAATCACCAACGAGGATTTTTCAAATTTTCAGGTTTCAAATCTTAATAGAACAGATTTTATATAAACTGAACGTTTTATATTATAAAACGCAAGTTTGCTATTCAGTCAATACTAATTTTGAAATTTTTCCCTAAAAATGATGAATCATGTTTTGTCCAGATTTTAAGATGGACAAGTCCATTTCAGATAATTAGTGAGGTAAGCATCATATTATGATGAAGATAATATTGATAAGAAGTTGGATTAAATTTCACTGAATTAATAACACAACCATCAAGAATTCCATGAATTCATTTGCTATCTTATTCCCATACTATTCAAATTCTCATATAAAATTTCCTTTATGGCAAAAAAACATTTAAGGCAATTATCAAGTTTTTATGTCATGAAAATTAAAAACATAAAAGGTCAAGAATTATCTTAAGAACTCTCTTGAAAGCCTCCTTAAATACAACGATTTTAGCAGCAATTGTGTTACAATTGTATGTTCTACTTCAAACAGAATGCTCTCCACTTCTGAAACTACTTGAGCACATCTTTGAAATATAATGATTAAAGTATTTAAGTATTCAAGTATATATAAACATGTACATACTCAATTGTATAAAATATTTCTGTTATAATTATTATCGTAAACTACATACATGACCATCAATTACCATTTGCTTTCTTTATAAAGCCATTTTTATTTTAATTTTTTTTTTGCAAAAACCAATAATTAATTCTTTAAATTTCAGTGCTGTAATATAGGAGAATAGGGAAAACTTAACAAACCTATTTAAACATTTTACTTATTTAGATGATAATACAGTATAACCTCTGAAGAGTGACCCCCTGTAGAGCAATAACAATATCCATTCTTGTGAAAGTAAGACTTCACACTAAATTTATCTTTTGCAGTACATCTCAGCAACAACTAAAATAGTTGTCCTCCAAAGTATGATGCTTCCTCTGCATAGGTTGTACTTCGCACATTTTGTAAAAAATGGTTTGTAAAATCTTCAAAGATTTTAGGGGAAAATCAAATTTTTAACAGTTTTGAAACAAGATTGCATTTGAGAAAAATGCTATGCCACCGCATTAATACAACACTAAATAGTAGTGTAGGAACAGATTTATTTTTTTTCTATATGACTGAAGATTGTCATAATGCATAGATCCCTGACCTATTTAATTCTTATCATCAGATTAGTGGTTAAATCTATTGTTAATCCAATAAAAGATCAGAGTAGAAATATATCAATGCCCTTGAGTCTGGTGAATTTGGTGGTGAAGGTCATATTTCACACAGCCTAAATTTCATGACTACATCAAAGGACAACACAGTAAGACACTTTGTCAAAATCTAGGTCAGCTGATATCAAAGTTCACTTTACATCTAAATCTGTGCACATGGTTCAAATTTCATAGCTGTACATCAAAGGACAAGAAAGTAGGTCACATCATCAAAATCTAGGTCACCTGAATTACAACTTAAACTGTGCATATGGTCAAAATTCCATTGCTGTACATCAAAGGACAAGAAAGTAGGTCACTTTCCCCTTGGGCAAGGCAAAATTTTGACCCAAGGGTTTAATTCAAAACAATCTTGATACAGGTCCACCAAACAACATTTCAAATCAAATATCTAATCTGTAGCTTTCTCCCATTCAGAAAACATTTGTTTTATTTTCTGTTTTTACTATGTGTACATAATGAGAATCACTGCCCCCCGGCAGGGCCAATTTTGACACCAAAAATTTGAACAACTTTGGTAGAGGACCTATAGATGATATTATATAGCAAACATCAAAGCTCTATGCCTTGTACCTTCAGACAAAAATATTTTTTTTTTACTATATGTACAAAATGAAAATCAATGACCCCTGGAGTGGAACCAATTTTGACCCCAGGGCTATAATTTGAACAATCCTGGTAGAGGTTCAAGCCTCATAAAGTCTCATGCCATATATTTAACCTCTAGTCTTTGTCAATTCAGAGAAGAAGTTTTCAAGTTTTTACTTTATACATATAAGGAAAAGTATCGCCTCTGGGTCAGGGCAATTATAAACACTAGGGGCATAATTAAAACAACTTTAGTAGAGGACCCATAGATGATATTATATACCAAATATCAAAGCTCTAAGCCTTGTACCTTCAGACAAGAAGTTTTTTTTTTACTATATGTACATAGTGAAAATCATTGACCCCTGTGCCAATTTTGACCCCTGGGCTTTAATTTGTACAATTTTGTTCACTACACAATGTTTCATGCAAAATATCTTAACTTTAGCCTTTGTAAATTTAGAAAAGATGATACATATAAGGAAAACCTATGGCCCCCGGGGCGGGGCTAATTTTGACACTAGAGGCAAAATTTGAACAACTTAGGGTGAGTACCTATCGATGATATCATTTAACAAATATTAAAGCTCTAAGCCTTGTACCTTCAGACAGTAAGATTTTTGACCATATGTATATATTGAAAATCAATGACCCCCGGGGGCGGGGGCAATTTTGACCCCAGGGCTATAATTTGAACACTCTTGCTAGAGGTTCACTTCACAATGTTTCATGCAAAATATCTAACCTCTAGCTTTTGTCAATTGCTAGAATTTTTTTTTTAAGTTTTTACTATAAGTTTTTACTAAATACATATAAGAAAAACCAATGACCCCCGGGGTGGGGCCGATTTTGACCCCCGGGGTGGGGCCGATTTTGACCCCAGGGCTATAATTTGAACAATCTGGGTAGAGGTCTACTAGACAATGCCTTATGCAAAATATCTAAGCTCTAGGCCTTTTGGGTCTTTACAAGAAGGTATTTAAAGTTTTTACTATATGTACATATAGTGAAAATCAATGACCCCCGGGGCGGGGCCGATTTTGACCCCAGGGCTATAATTTGAACAATCTTGGTAGAGGTCTACCAGACAATGCCTTATGCAAAATATCTAAGCTCTAGGCCTTTTGGGTCTTTACAAGAAGATTTTTTAAATTTATTCTTATAATTCCTTTTGGTTGCCATGGCAACCAGATTTCTGCATGGAATGAAATTCTTTGAACAACTTTGGAAGCCCTTCACCCAAAAATATCTAAGCTCTAGGCCTTTTGGGTCTTTACAAGAAGGTATTTAAAGTTTTTACTATATGTACATATAGTGAAAATCAATGACCCCTGGGGCGGGGCCGATTTTGACCCCAGGGCTATAATTTGAACAATCTTAGTAGAGGTCTACCAGACAATGCTTTATGCAAAATATCTAAGCTCTAGGCCTTTTGGGTCTTTACAAGAAGATTTTTTAAATTTATTCTTATAATTCCTTTTGGTTGCCATGGCAACCAGATTTCTGCATGGAATGAAATTCTTTGAACAACTTTGGAAGCCCTTCACCCAAGGATCAATCCTGCCAAGTTTGGTTGAAATTGGACTAGTGGTTTTTCACAAGAAGATCTTTGAAGTTCACTATATAATCTATATAACACACACACACACACACAAACAAACACACACACAGGTGAATCGCTATATGCCACCGCATCGCAGATGCTGCGGTGGCATAAAAAGAAACTGGCTGGAAAAAGGCCTATATTTGGTGTGTATTTAAGCAAAAAAAATGCTGTCAAAGAATAGTCAAAGGCACATTAAAGGTGCTACTTATAGGAATTTGGAACCAGTCTAGGTATACTGCTATCCCATTGGTCAGATTAAAATGCATTTTTCCAAACAACCAATCAGACTCTAGCATTTGAGACTGGTTGTCCTAATCAAGCATTGTATGACCTTTGCAATAAATCTACTCTTTTGTTCAAGTAGGCTTAACAAAAACTGTCAGAATTACACAGTCAGTGATTTGAATGAGCAATGTATTGGAAAGATAGGGGATATGTCTGAAGCACAATGTTTGTAAGCCAATCAGGCTTTAATGAGGTTATCTCTGATACAGACACCAGGAAATGTTTGCCAAATTAGCAACACAAAGTTTTTTCTTTAACATAATGATAACTTTTGGCTTATTGGTCTAAACTTTGTATGCCTGTTTTTTTTTTATGTTGAAAGAAAAAAAAAAAAGAATCATGTTGCAATAAAATAATGGTTATTCATCTCTTTGCATAATAAGGTTAACAAACCAGTATGTGAATTTTATTAAAGTATTTGTTGATTGAAATGCACAATTTTTCTGTTGCAGCCCCCCTCTTCCTAGATTGTTTTCCTTGTTTAAAACAAAATGGGCTAAATCATGACTATTGGCCATTTGTACTTTGTTCTTTTACCTATGACCAAGCAAAACCTTTAAAGGCATCATAATGGGAATATTGATGTATTAATGTGCAATAAATAAAATGATTAGGGGTATGCCTGGACAAGAAAATTCATTAGATAAATGATAAAAGATAATCAACTGCCAATTATTTATATACATGATGATTTATACTCTATCAATAGAATAAAATCAGGAGAAACCCAGCTGCATGATTTCAGACAGATATACACACAAAGTGGTTTTAACTGTTAAAAGATTAATTCTTATCTATTTCAATTACCTGGAAATTTTCAAAACCAAATATGTCTAGAATTCCTATGAATCTCAACTGATGTTGACCAGGGTTCGTACATTTGTTCACGGCATCCACCAACCAGGCAAATGTTCTGGAATAAAGGCACTTTGCCATTGCATGGCGATTTTCACAGGCCTGAAATAAATAATAATATAATAGCTTCAAAGTCGATATAAGGTGAATAAGAGTATCAATTAGCCAATGATAATTTCATGCATATTTACATTGAAAACTTTAATTTTCATGGAATATGATAATTAAACCTTTCAAAAGCTATCAGAGCTGTTATGGTTTGCCTATGCCAACAATGTAGAAATGCTCGATTCTTATTCCATACTGTTGGCTGCTTTAAAATTTCGCATTTTAATATCCCTCGAAATAACAATGAACCGTCCCAAATTCAAAACTAGGCAGGTCCATTTTAGAAAGAAAGCATAGTGAAGATTACATAAATCATTATGTTTTCATAACAATACATTCTCAATCCTTTGACATGATTTCAGTATTAAATGTTTTACCCAATTCAATATATTCATTTATCTGTCTCTTTTATAATTATCTTCATGTCAAATAAAGTTGCTTTTTAAAACATTTATCTCACTGATTTGAATCATACTGAGCAAGAATAAGTTTACTTTAAGACAACTTCTTTCTCTTTCTTACAATTTACCCAGTAGATAATTATCTTTTGGATGCTTCAAGAGTGATTTTTTCTCTAGAAATTGGGAATCAAAGATAAAATTTGTTCCTTGGGGAACCAAATATTGATTGACTGAAATAGGCCTAAAATAAATCATTTTAAATGACCAAATTTGTTATAAGCCTATAAATTTGGCTCAAACTTAAAACCATGTGAAAGTCTTAGAGTATTGTTTTCTCTTTGATTCTTATCAGCAGATCATTAAAGTTGAAACCCCTGTGGTTAAAATCACCAATCATGAGTTAAAGTAAATACCCAGTATTAAAAGCTGCAGGTTTTATTTCTATTCTGTTAGAATATATATACCTTTAGATAGTAATATGCAGATTTTTTAAAATTTGAAATTTTAGGGTTACCCTAAGTTTGCTTGGGGGTACAAAAATACACCTACAGGACGAGAACAGACCAAGATCAGCTTGGTCATTCCTGCCATTTGATCATGGTTTGCTTTGTTTTCTATTCTGAGTGAGTACATAAAATTTTAAACTTTTCAAATTCTCCCTTAAAATGATGAATGTTTTTGACAGGATAAGGGGTCAAGAACTCACCACAACAATGTCCCAACTTGTCAGTTTATATGAAAATGTTGCTGAAAATTGTAAAGATATGTTTAGGACAAAAACATCTGAGAAGATACTGATTCTGAATCAAACGTATTTTGTTGCACTGTTGATGTTTTATATCTCATCACAGGAATGGCGAGAGGGTAATATGAAAATGTGATTGAATCTTATCAGTATAAATCCCCCTAGCTCTTCAATCTATCATACACATAGATTTGATCAGAATCTTTCCCATGGATATATGGATAGAGAATTGGCATTACAAGCTTTGTAGGCAATCAGAAACTTTGAATCTCATTGACTCCTGAATGCATGCACATCAAGATGACTGTCAAGTACATAAAATGTTGGAAATTTTTCCTGCAGAGCTTCCACTTTATCATAATGAATCTTTATCAAACATTCCATTTATTTTTATAGATTTATCAATGAAAAAGAAATGTATTCCATTAAGTAAATTTAACAAGTCAATTTTAGCTAATACATATTGAAAGCTTGCTAAATTAGATTTTGTGGACCAGTCTAAAACTTCTTGCATTTTATTGGCCGAATTTGAAATCATTTTTTCAAATATTAGCCAATGGCAATGCTACATCCATTCTAAGACTGGTCTGCAAACTGATTTTCCTTACTTCATGAAATGTACATAAGGAAATTTTGTATGGGGATTTCGTTTACCTTATAACTCATGATTTGAAACACAGTCAATTTGAAAGATAAACCAATCAGGCCTTTTTTCCCTCTTATAAAGTTATTACCAGTAAATGGAAGCTTTCCCAATGCCAAACAAGAGCTGTCGGTAGGACAGCAACGCTCGACTATTCTTAGTGCTTGATAGTAAAAAAAATGCCTGATACAGTTACCTCCTCCTGTTTACAGGTTGGGTCATGATGGTGAACAAGTGTGCAAAGTTTCAAAGCCATATGTCAATGGACTTTGAAAATATTTGAACTATTACAAAAACTTTACGTAAATTCTAAGTCGAAAAGGGGCAATAATTCTGTCAAAATGCTTGATAGAGTTACCTCCTTCCTGTCTACAGGTTGGGTCATGATGGTGAACAAGTGTTGCAAAGTTTCAAAGCCATATGTCAATGGACTTTGAAAATATTTGAACTATTACAAAAACTTTAACGTAAATTCTAAGTCGAAAAAGGGGCATAATTCTGTCAAAATGCTTGATAGAGTTACCTCCTCCTGTCTACAGGTTGGGGTCATGATTGGTGAACAAGTGTGCAAAGTTTCAAAGCCCATATGTCAATGGACTTTGAAAATATTTGAACTATTACAAAAACTTTAAACGTAAATTCTAAGTCGAAAAAGGGGCATAATTCTGTCAAAATGCTTGATAGAGTTACCTCCTCCTGTCTACAGGTTGGGGTCATGATGGTGAACAAGTGTGCAAAGTTTCAAAGCCATATGTCAATGGACTTTGAAAATATTTGAACTATTACAAAAACTTTGACGTAAATTCTAAGTCGAAAAAGGGGCATAATTCTGTCAAAATGCTTGATAGAGTTACCTCCTCCTGTCTACAGGTTGGGGTCATAATGGTGAAGAAGTGTGCAAAGTTTCAAAGCCATATGTCAATGGACTTTGAAAATATTTGAACTATTACAAAAACTTTAACATAAGTGGTTACGCCGACGCCGACGCTCGGGTGACTGCAATAGCTCTACTTATTCTTATCGAATAGTCGAGCTAAAAAATACATGAATCTTTTCTCCAAAAGAGAGGCATAAAATTCCCAATTGTCAATATCCCTTAATGTTGTTGTTTATTTACTTTGAAAAACTATTTTCATTGAAAAAGGGAATCCCTTAGAATCATCTACTCTAGAAAATATGAATACAAAGGCTACTGATACAGTGTAGCAACTACTCTTTTATTCCTTTTATACTTTAAAATTCCCAATTCAAACTCTTTAAGATGCATTTTTCCAAATTTCACTGGAGTTGGTGGCATTCCCAAAATGTGAAAAGGGCTTGCCAAATAAACTTAGTTAACTGAAGGCTTCAAAGAACTCTTCTCTCTTGCTTAAATAATGCTATTTTAGAGTTGCTTTATAAATATTTCAAAAGCTAAAATTTCTGTTACAAGAAAGTAGAAGTAATAAATATTCAAATACTACACAAGATACTAGTTTAACATGATAATGGAATGTAAATTTGAGACCTGGAACCATCCTTTAGGGATATTCTTTTGTCTGCATGATCTTTGATAATAATTATCTAGGAGAATTCTGTTTCTTTTAAAGATACAAAAAGGTTAACAAATTTACATACACAGAAAAAAACTGCCTTCTTGGAGAACTTTTGTCTGAGGTTACCGATTGACTTCACTATTTTATTTAAAACATGTACTGCTCAATCATTAGTATTCATGGGGCACAAGTTTTAGTGGTTTTCGTAGATATGTCAATCCACAATTTTTTATTTAGGTCCAATCAAAATTTATTTTGTGAGCTGTAACATTATCGCTGTTTTATATTATATGCATTTTACATTTTTGTGAAAGGCAGAAAATCCACAAATAAAAGCTCATGAAAATGTCCTTTTTGAAAAAAAATTATAACAAAATTAAAAAAAAAAAACACGAAAATTTCATGCCCACACAATTAAATGAATTTGCAGCATTTTTTATGACAGATCTTTAATTGATTAATTAATTCTTGGCTATTTCTTAGTTTTTTGTTTTGTTTCTTGGCATGGCTTGCTCAGCAGACTTACCTCTTGGTGTTTGAAAGGAATACTGGTAACTGTTCCGCGCACCTGAATTTGACGGAACAATAAGGCCTCCATAAATCCATCGAGATTAAATCCAAGAAGTTCGCACACTAAGCCTACTATATCTAAATCACTTTCCGTTAACTCACTCTTTTCACCTTCCACATCTTGAAATTTAAGATTTCCTAGCCATAATATAGAGGACAATATCCGGAATATACCATCAACCATTTCTTGCGAGACATTTAAAACATTTAACGCTAATCGCAATCGGTCAAACATGATTGAATCATTAACTCCGTCCAACGTGTAACATCCACTTTGGTTAAGATATGCGTATGACTGGACTGGTCCCACATTGTATTGGTCCTTGATTTCAGGCGAAGCCTCGGCACCCGCGATGAACTGGTAAAATACATGATAATTACGCTCATTTGCTGATTGAAATGTGATTCTCGATTGTTCAAGAAGGTAATCTTGCACGATACAGCCTTTGATCTGACAACTTGTGTCAAAGCACACCTGGACAAATTTTCCGAAGCGGCTGGAATTATCATTTCTAACAGTCTTTGCATTTCCTGAAAGTATATACAAAATTTATATTCAACAAAGTGCATTATGCTCACATCTATAAGATAATTAATAAAGTAGAAATATATGCAACCGTTTTCAACAAAATTCATCAATTAAGCTATGTTATTTCTATGGCATTTAATATCTATATCAATACCAGCCTGTTCCCTGAAAGTAAATTAAGACTTACTTTTAGTAGATGGAGACAAAAAATCAAAATTGCTATAAACATACAATATTTTCAAGCACGCTGACATGGCAAAATATGTGTTACAAAATTCCCTTGATTCAAGGCTTGGGCCTTGAAGGCTCAAATAATGAAGTCATATAGGTTGGGTAAGAACAAACAATCAGGCATTCATTACTGTAATCTAATCATTAAAATGGAATTCGTCTTCAGTCTCTATTTTCAGAACACAAAACACATTATTTCAGGTTATTCATGGAGCTATAAATAACTTATAACAACTCTCAGACTAACAAAGAGTCATGATTTTAAAGTGAAATTTCATGGAATTAAAACCCTACTAACGGCCTAAATTGCTAAAAATATCAAAATCCAGTCAGGAGCATTTTTGATAAAACATGTAAAACTCATGAAATTTATGTAATCAGTCATGATCAAAATCTAATTCTCTGATAATTCTTTTTCAAAAAATATCATAAACTCTTCATGCAGTTTTCAAATTCTAAATGTCAGGAATGTACCTGGAAAAATTACAAAAATCTCTATATCAAAATCAGGATGTAAAAACTTCATGAATATTGACATATGGGTAAATTTACGAAAACCAGATCAGTAGGTGCAGAGAATAAAATGGAGACATAACATAGAGATAAGATTGCAGATGAAACAGAACTTTAACATGCATACCTGCATGCAACAATCATTATAATGTTTGTAGTAGATTATTTATAATCCTCATTATAAGTTTCCAGATATCAACCTATAATACCCCTTAATTTATATAATGGGCTCGCCCAGCCTTTGAATTTGGAACTGCCTATTGTTAATTTAAGGGGTTCAATGACAAAAAGCTAAAAATATGACAGGGTTGCAACTATAGCTATATAGTCTTATTTCCTACTGTTAGCAAAATGAAAGTCATCATCATTGTATCCCCTATCGCAAACCACTCTAAATGAACTTGTCCATGGGTCAATCTGGACTTAACCATTCATCATTTTTAGGTAAAGTTTCAAAACAAATACTGAATAATGCAGACCATGATCAGACAACACGGATATGCTGGCTGATCTTGGTCTGCACTGACTGCATGGGTAGAATCCATTGCTGCCCACCTCTAACCTCCCCCACACCCCGACAGGCTAAGAGTAATATCAACAAGGAACAGTTAAAAATCTTTAGCAAGTCATGTCAATTAAATACTGCAACAGAAGGAAGGTAAAGGTGAGTAAATTTCTTATTGCAATATGAAATGGTAAAAATTTCTGAGTATCAATTCTTCAATCTTCATAAACCAAACAAAACCGAAATAACTGAAAACTACAGACAGCTGTAAAAGGGCTGATGTTGGGAATATCAATGAAAAAGAAAAAAATACTGATAAAATGTCTATAAAAAACATCTTCACAGAGAAATTTGTATAGATATTATTAAGGATAAAGGTAAGTAGAAAACTGGGCCAAAACAAAAACTAGATAAGTTTCATTACCACCAGATAAGAGAAGTAGCATTCTGCAATGCTGATAAGCCCAAAACTGGCTTGCTACTGTTTACAGGTAAGCAAACTGGAATCTGTTTGAGAACTGATTGAAACCAATTATAAATACTGGTGTGAATGTTGTAAATTCCAGTACATCCTAAAAGGATGATATTGTAAACATTTAAGAAAAGAATTAAAGGAATGCAGGTCTTGAAAAATGCAATATGTAAACATAGAAATGTTTAGCTATGATCTAATTGAGGGCACATGTTATCAAGGGTTCTGGTAAGTGAGTACAGGTGCTTTGTTTAACAACAGACCTGTTACAGTCTGATTAACTCTAATAAGAGCAGGTCAACAACGAAAAAGAAAAAAAACAGCTTAACATCTGTAATACATTTTTAAGTTTTGTATATGTATTATGAAGACCTAATATTCCAATTGTTAGCTACGTAAAGGTCTTAAATTAAATGCATATTCTGTAGAGTGGCCCTCTTTTAAAGAAATAACCTCTTTATAACAGTATCCAATTCTTCCCAAAGGAGGAATTCTCATTAAATTCCACCTCTCTAGAACAATACCTCTCCATAACAACCAAAATATTTGTCCCTCTAAAAGGCTGTTGCTTTGCAGAAGCTGTACTGCACCAAATAAACCTTTAGTCTACACAGTTAATAACTATATATATAAGGACTTAACTCTATTTTTCTATCCATGTTTACAATTTAATCTTACATTAAAAGAAACCCCTTAGGGGGCAGGGGACCTAAAAATGAAAAATTTTGTATTTCAGTGTGACCAGAAACACAATTCCAAATATTTCAAAATCTGTTTCACAGGCAGATAACCAGTTGCACAGCATTATTCAATGATATATGACATACATTGAAGAAAATAATAGTTTGCATGCATTGCTCCTTCAAAAAATGACTGACAGCAATTTATATTTACCCCCACCCAGCCAAAATCACACCTAAAATGTACCAATATAGGCAATCTTCATGAAGGTGCAGCATACTCCAGAATCCGCCCGATTCCTTTAAAAATATCAGTAACACGCAGTGCAAGCTATGGCATTTTCAGAAATGACAAATAAAGTGTCTGTCATACGTTTAGATTTTTCACAAAATTTATCTGAAATTTCTTACTTGTTTGGCGCCAAACTGTCAAAGCTTGATTTTTAACTTTTTTCACCTCCATTCGGAGAGTCAGAAATACATACAAAGCTACCAAAATGCTTAGTTTCGGGTAAAAACCCAAAAATATATCTCATTTCCTACACACAAACAAGAAAGAATTACAATGACAGAGAAATATCAGAAGTTATCAGTACCTTCAAAACACCATGTCTGAGTTATTAAAAAATTTGACCGGGGCCATCATTCGAATATGTCCCCTGCCCCCTTAGCCTGCGGACAGAAGCTAAATTTACCCGAGCACCATGCAGTGCAGACAAGTATCAGCCAGCACTAACCTGCCCTATGATCCTGGTCTGCACTATTCAGTCAATACAATATTTTGATAATTTCCCTAAAAGTGATGGATAGTTTAGTCTAGATTGAAAGATGAAAAAGTCTAAGGGTTAATTGTATTTTTTTTATTGATCAATAATTTTGATTCTCCAATTTGTTAATCAAATAATCAAATTATATTTTCATACTTCATACTCATTAACAATAATTTGTAATTATGTAACTAATTATTTCATATAAAATTTGTTCAATGAATATATTGTAGTTTTGTCACCACAACATTTCCACATAATATGGACAATTAACTTAAAAGTACACATTTCAAATGCACCAATGGTAGAGGTATCATAACTGGTGACATACGTTTATTATTATTAAAGACGTAAAATTCTAAATATTGGTTTATAGACTTTGTAGTACAACAACCACAACATCACCAGAACAAGGACAAACATGGTCATAAAGCAGGCTTAAATGTCTTCCATCATAAAAGTTGAATTAAATAAATGACCTTAATAATTTGTTTGGTTTTCCGGTGCACCAACACAATTTAAGTTATATGGCGCCGAAACAGAAAGATGAATTTGGCTAACCTCTGGTGTTACAAACTTAAAGCAACACCAGAGGTCAAAACTATCTCACCTGCTGGAGAGACTCCCCTTAATTCAAACCATTTAGTCACCTCTTACACAGGGAATGGGATAAACGGTGGCTGGAATTCTAATGCCTCAAGCCTTAAAGGCAACCCTTCATGCAGTCACACAGGGATTGATCTTTAATAAGCCAGTATGACTGTATCAAACTGAGCATGCCATTAAATGTTGTTTTGGGCATTCTTTAACCTAGACCCAACTGGAACCAGAAAGTGATTAGCCATTGCAATTTGGTACAGAGCCATGCCAGCCTAGACATTGGAACAGACTGACAACTGTTCAATACTGTTGGCTGACCAACTTCAAATTTTCATCTGGATATCCCTTATATTGATAATGATCAGTCCCAAAAATGGAAGTCAGACAAGTCCATTTCAGAAATTCAGCAGGTAAAGGATTTAGGTTTCTATCTTTTTCTATTTTACTCCTTCAAGTGCCAGTGGCCATAATCAACAGACCCATGTCACTAGTTTAGATGTCGGGCTAACCTAAACATTTGGGCAATCTGACCAAACTCCAGCATTTTGATACTGAACTAATTAGAACAACAATATAACTGTATGACTGAACTTTTCATACCAAGTCTATTAAGTAAATTTAAGCATGGGAAATGGTGAATACAAAACAAATTTAACTAACTCATGATTGAAATGGTACAAAATAATGTAAATACATGCACCTTCATTTCGTGAGAAAAACAAGATTTTGATTTATCGATTAAGGCATGCACTTGACGTATGGCGTGATGAAAATAGTGGCATACACAGGAACTACCGCTTACTAGTGATAAGTTCAAACAGGAAGGTGGTCATTGAAATACAGACGGTTCACGATTAGGAAGTAATAGCAGGTCAACTTGTAGTTAATAATACACATCCTTCCCATAAAAATCCAGTCAATCGGGAGTTATATGAACATGGAGATATGAATACATGTATATAAATATACATGTACATTAACAGTCAAATAAACAGGTCAATTTGTCATATTGTTTAGTATGGTAAGGATACTATGCAGTTAGTACTCAGGAATGTTTCAGAGGATTTTACAATTTTAAAGCTGCATGCCTCCAGACGAGTCAAAATATTTCAATAAAATCGAACTAGAGATATGCACTATGATTTAAGGAAAAGTAAAACAATTCAATATTAAAGTAATATTTTACATGCTATGTGCGGTTAATGACTGATTTTTCTGTATTTACAACTATATTTCTACTGCATTACTAACGCAGTAAGGGCCATTTACGCATATTTTGACCACTTTTTGGTAATTAATGGGGATGTAAGTGCCATTTATAATGTGTCAATTGCTTCCTTTTAGTTATTTCACAATGTTATACATTCAAATACATTTTCAAAATTTTCATGAAAATTAGCGTGAATCTGGAGGTGTGTTACTTTAAGCATGGTACATTTGTGAAAAATGTTCACTTATCATTAATATGTCCTGATATGTCAAAGAATTTTTTGTTTGCATTTTAGGTCAATAGGTCACTATCAAAGAGACAAAGTGGCGACAGAATTCAAGAATATAAGAATACAATCTTGAAATGGTTTAGTTTTCATATGAAAATTTTCTACTTTTGGACTTTTGGTACTGTAGCTATAATGTAAATTTAGTAGTTCTTTTAAAACAAGACAAGGATCTTATAAGATATGGTTTCATATATTACTGTAATGAAACTCCTACTATGGTGAGATAATAGGGCACTCAATAATTTTTTAAAACAAATGCTCTTAGATGGGCATACTTCAGTGAAGGAGGTAACACAATATAATACTTGAGTAGGAAATGGAAAACTATACAATTGTCATGCTTTGGTACTAAGTAAGTCAATTATCAAGATTTGCCTAGGTTTATGTTTTAAATCAACAAAATAAAAAAATCCAACAGGACATAGTATTACACTGCATGCAGTATTAAATATATTTTTTTGCCAGCAAAAATTAAACTCTTTCATACAATAAATTAAAGAAAGGGCTGTTATTCTATATAATTGAAGATCATATGTAAAAATCTCTTTACGATTTGAAAAAAAATGTCCATTTGAAACAAAAAGAAAGAGAGAAATAGTTTTCCTGATAATAAAATACACATGCAAAATACAAGAAAATAATGTTACAAGCTTGATGCCTGATAGTAAATTTATGAGCCACGTCATGACAAAACCAACATAATGCGTTTGCGACCAGCATGGATCCAGACCAGCCTGCGCATCCGCGCAGTCTGATCAGGATCCATGCTGTTCGCTATCAGTTTCTCTACTTGTTATAGAGTTGTTAAGCGAACAGCATGGATCCTGATCAGACTGCGCGGAGGTGCAGGCTGGTCTGGATCCATGCTGGTCGCAAACCCACTATGTTGGTTTTGTTGTGACGCGGCTCATATGTTTTTTGTGCTTCTTTCCACATACGGAGTTGTCTTACCAAAAAGCTTCAAGGACTGTGTTAGCCTCTAGAATTTGTTGTTCTACCCAGAACGATGTGTGGTTGGTCACGGAACATAAATACTGTAGAATAAACTTTGTGTTCTCTGTCTGTAATACAAACAAATCTATATAATCATAAATCATTGACAAAATATCTAAAACATATTTTAATCTGAACTTCCCAAATATTTATGCTTTTATATTAAAGATGAAAATTCTTATAAATAATTGTTTAAAATGTTCAAAGATGATAATAATAGATAAAATAGTAACACAGATGCTCCAAAACCAGGCTTCTTCTTTGCTAACTGTATTTCTGTAACAATAACATATTTCAGTTCAATAGAACACAACCGCATGTAAAACACAAAATAATTAATTGCACAAGCAATTTTTAAACTGATGACTTTCATTTCTTCTTAATCCTAATTAGCATAATTATACTATTTTTGTATTGGAGCCATTAAAAACAAAATATGATTAAATTTGTTGTACCAAAATTTTCCAGATTTTCTGGTGAGGGCAGACCTAAGGTGGCCCATCATGCATTATTTCAGGCACAAGCACTAAGGCAACTGAGTAGAACCACCTATCTTCTGCAAGCAGCACAATTTATAGCCATCATATTTATTTTGTTAATATGATATATGTTCAATATGATAATAACAGACTTACTCCGGAATTAAGAATATTAAAATGAGTTTTTCCCTGCTAATAATGTAGGTATATACAAACAAACTTTTACAGTAACAGCTTCGAAAGTAAGCAAAACCGGTTGACTACTCTATTGTGACGGGTAGTGAACCATGAAGCTGTAACAGTAAAAGTTAGTTTGTACCTACAGATTAGTTGGGTAAAACTTAATTACAGATAACGTCTATTAAAACTTTTACAGAGGCAGCACAAACCTTGCCGGCACCGCTTTCTCCACTGATGATACACGACTGGTTCGTTTTACCGTCTGCTCCATTATTATTGTCATTAAGTTTCTGGAACGCAGCTTCAGATATAGCAAATATGTGTGGCTCTACATTACTCAACTTTTGTCCTGTATATTCTTCTACATGTTCCTGTAATATTCCAATAATGTAAACAAATATATTTTTCTATTAGTAACAAACGTCATCAATAATAAATATTATCGAATAATGCTCAGGCCGACACTATAGGGGGCGCGAGAAGTTGCACTCGTCATTGTCTTTGATTAATCAACAGACTCAATCAAACCTTGTCTGTGACTTTCTTTCATTTGGCATCAAAAAGGATCGAAATAAGCAGCCAACATTACTGGACCTCAAATAGAACAGATGTGCAGGCTGGCCTAAATGTTTTTGTTTATTTAAATGGAGTTTAAGTCAAACAGATATTTTAAGTGTTTTATGGCCACTTTCTAGCTTTACTATTTGGAGGAAGACCTCAGGTGCCCCTCCATACATTATTTCAGATACAACCAGGCACCTGAGTAGAACCACTGATTGTCAGTTAGCTAGATGCAGAGAATCTAAAGTCCCTGATGGGATATGAACCCACGTCAGTAAGGGGCAAGTGATTTGAAGTTTACACCCTTTAACCACATGATCATCATGGATGCCCTAGACTGGACCTATGACCTAAAGAACTGATTTATAATCTATAATAAAAATAAACAGTAAGCTGAATAATATCTATTTATGTCTCAGGTCACCTTGCTCAGGTAGCAAATTATGATTTTCTGATACATAACAACTGAATTACCTATCTCTTAACTTTGTTTACTCTACGCCTAGTACATTTATCCAATTATAATGTTAATGCATGACTGAATATCAAAATAGATACTAAAATATATTATTGCACAAGTCATTAAAGAAATATTTCTTTTTATGGTACATGTATATTGTATACGGCATTACAATATCTAAATAAGTATCTTTATATTGGCGAAGTGCAGTCATGAACTATTAAAATGTTGTAAAAATTTTAATAACTGTCAAAATATGCTGTCAACAAGTAACTAGCCGCAAATAGGGAGCAGGGAAAATTAGTTTACTGTCAAACCGCAAAACTTTGATATAACACGAAGTTCAACCTGAAGTGTTTAAATTTTGAAGAAAAAGTGTTCTAAACTTTCACATTTACTCCCTTAAATATTATTTCAAATTTTATTTTTTAATTTTATTTTTTTGGGGAGCAAATTAAAAAAGCTTCAAGGAATGGGTTCACTCCTATTAAATTTTGATATGAGTTAACTCATTACTGCACTAAAGGTGTTATTCCCCAGAGCTTGACATACAAGAAATCTTTTCTACAAACACATTTTCCAGATATATATTTTAAATGTAAAACACAACTGCAGGATTAATTTTCTAATTTTTAATGCTACAATTCATTCCCTTCTTATTATCACAACCCCCCTTTTAAACAACAAACTTTAAAAAAAAACATTGATTATAGTATGTTTCACATCCCTCAACATTATTATTTCAGACATTTGTCAGAAAAAAATCACCTTTCAAGATTTCATGCATTTACCAATTTAAAAAAAAATATTGGGAAAAAAACAGACTGGAGATCAAAAATGCAAATTCTAAATCTATATGAATATGCATAACAGAAATAAATGCATGACTAATCCTGAATTACCATATCAAATTTGTCTAGCATTTCTGATGTGAAACAAATTAGGTTTATATCATAAATATCTTTATTTTGATCCTTACCATGCTAAATATCGAAAAATAGACTTGATCTATCTTTCAATCTGGATATAAAACCATTCACAAATTTTAGGGAAAATTTCAAAATAGGAACTTAATGCACAGCAAAATAGTGCAGACAATGTGACAAATGGCACAGATGTGGTAGATACAGTCTGTAACCCTGTAAATCTTTTTACATAGGGTTTGTAGGGTTTCAAGTCACACCAAAAAAAAAAAATCTATGGCTCCTTGTGGAGGAAAAAATCAGGTTACCCATTATACATATCCAGCATGAGCAGGCTGAGTAGAAGTACCAACCTCCTTAATGCTAACTGGACAGCTAGAATCCTTAAATTTCCTTATTGGTTCCAAACAGAGGTCAGGAACATAATTTTTCCCAAATCAGGGAACTTTCACCCAATTTACTGTAAAGGCACCCTTTAATCTAGGCTAACCTTTCTTGATTTTTTTTTTCAGGGTTAGAGTTTACACCAACACTGCAAAGGTCATATGGTGAATTCAAGCATTACTAGGGGAGGAAAACCTAAGGTTCCCTACCTGCATTATTTCAGATACAATCTTGGAGTTGAGTAGAACAACCTATGTTTTTGTAGGCTACCTGGATTATAAACTTCCTCACATGAAAGAATCCAAAGCTCCTTACTCATGGATTCAAACCAAAACGAAGGGGCAAGTGTTTTGGAGTTAACAACATTAACCCCTCAGTCATAGATGTTGTGACTATATAATTATGAGTCATTCAAATCAAAGTTCAAGGTACTTCAATTGCAATAAGCAGAATCATATGGAATTTAATTATAATGTTTAAATTTCATCTAAACTATAAGAAATTCATCAGTCTGCAATCATTAAACAAATATTAAAGGCTTCATTTTACTTTGATGCAGAGATTTCAATCATTAATGAAATCAGTGAAACAATTAGTAACACTTGTAGATCAATTTCATGTTTTTTCAATTAAGAACAAGGTTATAAATGGCATCCATTGTTAAACCCTTCTTTGCTAAGAGGTGTAGATTATCAATAGATTTTCATTGCCATTTTCTGCCCCAATAATCTAATTAAGGAAACAAAGAAAATCAATATAATATCAGATGACGAAATTATTAAACCTTAAGCTGAAACAGGTGTCCAATTAACCTGCCAATGAATCTGCATCCGATTTGAAATTATATTAGTTCAAAATACAAAAATTTTCAGTGGGTTCTATACCAACACTACACTAAACTGGTGAAGAAAGACACTGGAAGCTTTGCCATAAGTTATTATAGACATAAGAAAGCAAGTCTGGAGAAAACCTCCAACCTATTATGTAAACTTATTTTTTTCTGATTTTTTTTCTGGTAAGAGTTCTTAAATCCTGCAGCAATATCGGTTTGTCAAAGCCTCAAACATAGACCCAGTCTGAACATCTATGCAGTCTCAGACCAGGATACAAAATGTAAACACTTGAACTGTTACAGATTCAATGAACTGCAAGTCTTTTACTTAAACTCAGTAAAGGAAGGGTAAAAAATATTGAATATATTTCATTGGTGAATTCATCAAGCATTTTATAAAATTACCCAAAGTTTTAATTGGATAAAATTACCACAAATTTGAAAATAAATAAAAAAAATCAAAATTTACTATCACAGAATATTAAAGACCCTTTGTGCTTTGCTTTGAAACAGGAATATTTAAAACTAAAAGACAGAAGAGATGTTTTTGTTCCAATTTGCAGCAAGACCCAACTTATTTATTCAACATTTATCTTCCAAACTGCCAAAAGACGTTATAAAAAGATGAAATTATGGATCTTTTATGGAGATAACATGGATATCAGATAACAAGTAACTGCTTTTATCAGGGCACACCATCTATAGAGGAAACCAGTAATAAACTCATTCACTTCCAATCAATATTCAACAGCAATACTTATGACGATGCGTAACTTTCCTAGATAACCATGCAAATATGGTAATCCCAAACTGTAATTAATACAATGTACATTATCATACACTGTTATTTTGAACACTTCTCCAAAAATGTGGCACAATCTATGAAGCATGAACAGGAGTCTGATAGTAAAATGTAATTTTTATGAGTTGCTTCCCTTTGATTTGATACACAAGTCATGTGCAACCAAGAAATTTAACACCTTGAAAGATTCTTAGTTTAATGGAGTTAAAGTATATTTTACAGTACAGAGATTTATTTTGCCATACAATATAAGTAATCAAACATTTGGGACTGCTGTCACAGTGCTAACCTCTATAAAAACTTTTGTTGTTACAGAGTTGTTTCCCTTAGAAAAAAAATCATTTTTTTATATACAATGTATGTTTTTTACCATTATAATTGCATTGAAATAATATATGAAATATGCTGACACTTGATAATCCAAATATGGTAAATAACACTTCAAAGTTAGGTCATCTTTATACAATATAGCTACTTGACAACATCTTAAATATTTTCACATACTAGCTTTTTTGAAAAAACAACAACAACAAAAACAACATTTTATTGGTTACAATGCCACTCTTTAAAAATTTAGTTTCACAATATTTCTGACAAAAAATTGCAGCAAAGCAGTATGATGTTATATTAACAGTTGACAATTTTGCTATAATAGAAAAGTGTTCATGATGGTATTTTTATACATGTATACTGTCCCAGAAGACAGCTTACATTTCATGAATAATATTATCAAGGGGCATTATGGGAGTAATGACATTGATGCATTGAGTCAAATATGTAAAAATTTCGAGCTCCCAGAATTCAGCTCCGATGCTTGTAGAGAATGTCCCATAATTCACTATGATTATCAAGATAAATAAGGTCCCAATGAAGCAAAGGCAATTGTTACCAAACATGTTACTTGATAGCTTTAGTATAACATGATCGTAATTTGATTTTTTGTGAGAATAAAAAAAAAAGATTTTGTTTAAAATACAATATTTATACCCTCATTTGATTGTTTAAGTGAACTATGTTTTTTGCTGTACAAATATCACATTTATTCCATAAAATTGAAAGCATTTTTTTAATCACTTTGTTGTTTGTTTTTTTTAAAAAGTTCAGAATTTCAGCATTTTCATTAAATTTTGATTAATCTGAACCATTAAAAATTATTGCAATAAGCAAATTTCCTTCTCACTGATCTAATCATAATAAGGTTAAAATCAAATTGCATTTTATTTTAATCAAAAACAGTATTCTTTATTTGGTTTTTATTACAGGATAATCGTGTTATATTTATTAACACTTTTAATATCTTCCATTATAATATATGCCAGTTTACAAAAATCATATCTCGTAGTTCATATTTCAGCAGTGGTTGCTAAGCAACTCCTTATATGGAAATGCAATGGCCTCTTGTTATAAGT